GACTGACGCTCCTCCAGAAATCAGTCCTTCCTCATTTCCCTTTTTTTTTGGATGTAGGCTACCCTCTCCACTGGGAGTAGTCCTTTCCACCCACACCATTCCCAAGCCCTCCTGTTGCACAGGCTGAGAATGTTTACAAAGTAAGGATCTTGGCCCCCTGCTAAATCACTTAAACTTCTGAACTTTTCAAATTGACCCAATGAACAACATCCTGAAGTGGTAAGGGGATGTCCTCTACCCCCTAGGATGTAGAGCTGCTGAGTTACTCAATTAGCTTCTATACTTCTTAGTGGGCATAATGTATCAACCATTATAATCCACCCCTTGCAGACACATTTCTTAAAGTCAGTCTCCAGATACAAAGACGGGTTTACAATTATGCCTAACATGTTATAACTATCCTGCATACAAACAGAAGCATACTAATACCCTCACCAGAATAGACGGTAAAGTTTACTTAAGTGATGCTTATTCTTATCATTTCACAATTTGAACACTGTAACACAGATGAACTATCCTTAAGAACCAGTGTTAAGTCTATCAAAATTATATTACATTGGAACCTTATGCGGGAGAAATAGTACCATTACAATCCTCTATTCCATGGCTGATCACAGGGTCATTACTGGCACTTAGCACTACCTTCTTCCACTCCTGATTCTGTATTTCGTTGGCCTTCAGCAAGGATCTCGAAAGGTCTTCCTTCTTTCCCTGGTGCCTCTGAGCTATGTGTCATCCACCTATGTTACACTGTTATAGTTTCCCACTGACTTTAATAACAGGACATGGGGATACTAAGAGGCATCCTAAGGGATCTCCTACATTTCATGTATATTCTTCCTTTCCTCTATTGTGGGGTACTAGTCCAATTTCCCCTTGACAGTCTGGGTCAATTGCCTTTGATAACACTGTGACTCCTTTTTATGACCAGGGGGACGTCTTAGCTTCACACTCAATTGTATCAATGCTTTTTGGTAAAAAGCTTTCCCCATTCTGGAACCAAGATGTCTAAGCCAGCAGCAGAATGTAAGGTTGTGGGGACAGGAAGCAAAAATTCTGCTAGTTTATCACTAGGGGTAATGGTGAGTGTACCATTCCTACTTTCACTCTTTGATTCCTGGACCCATCAATCCTGGCTGTGGAAGACACACTACCATATAGTGGATGCTAATTCAAAGCATACACAGGCTTTTGAAGTACCTTACCCCAACCCTGCAAGCTACTGCCACAGAGCTGGCACCTTAACTGTGTGTTCAAAACACCATCCCAACTTTTTACCAATCCAGCCACTTATGGATACTCAGGGACATGCTTAAAGCAATGAATTCCAAGAGTATGAACCCACTGCCTCACTTCCTCACCTGAAAAATGTGTTCCTTGTTCAGAGGCATTGCTATGTAGAACTCCATGATGGTCCATAAGGCATTCTCTGAATCCATGGATGGTATTTTTGTCAGAAGGATTACCTGCACTGAAGGCAAATCCATCATCAGAATATGTATCTGTGCTGGTGAGGAGAAAGCATAGTCCTTTCCATGATGGAAGTGGTCTAGTATAATCAGCCTGCCATTAGGTCACAGGTGGATCACCTCAGGGAATGGTGCCATGTTGGGGACTCCGTGTTGGCCTCTTGTGTTGGAATATTGGGTATTCAGGGGTGGCTATAGCAGATCAGCCTTGGAGAGCAGTCAGTGTTGCTGACTCCATGCAGAACATACTTTCCTACCACCAGTGCCACAACCATTATACCTGCTGTCATGGTTGTATTTTTCTCAATGCTGAGACAAACTACCTGTAACCCAAAATGAAGGAAGGAAAGATGTATTTTGCTCACAGTTTGTGGAGGTTTCAGTCCATAATCAGCTGGCTCCAAGTGGCACATGGCAGAGGGCAACAGTTCATAGTGGCAGAAAAACAGCACAAACAAGAGAAAAAGAGGAGGAGCACAGAGAGGTCTCTCTCTGCCTCTTATATTGTATGTAGGTTACACCACTTGGGTATAGCTCTCATACCCCTAATCCTAGCATTGGACCATGAGTCATTCACAAACTGTAGGAGCCTGGCTCTGTGACTGTATGAGGATTCGGGGGGACATCCAGATTCAAGCCATAATATCTGCTGTTCAACCTACAGCCCCAAATTCTATTCACAGTAAAAGTGTCTCCTTGATCACCGGAACAAAACACTTCCATTGGTTACCTGGGCTTTGCTCCTTTATCCCTCTCAATATTATCTATGCTTCAAGATGCCCCTGTCTTATTCCTTCTCAATCTTTACCTCCACCTTGGCTCAAGCTCTCATCTACTTTTCATTATCATAACTTTCTAATTATTTCTCTGTCTCAAGAATCCTGTTCTCTATTCCAGCTGTTACACTGGGAATTATAATACGACTTTTCTCACTAATTTCTGATACAGAGCCCCTAAACCCTTGTCATTTATTTCCTGAGCAACTGTGGCACCAGGGATGCTAAGAGAATCTGTTGTTCTAATGACTGATCTTTGATCCTAGTTCCTGAACAGAGATCCTAACCCTTAGACTTTGCTGGATGATAGGAGAGTCTCTGCCTGTGGCAATTCAGAGTAGGTGCCTAAGTAGGAGCTACAGTAAAAAATAGCCATGATTAGAAGCTTTGACCCAACCCAATTCCTGTCCTTTAGGAAGAAAATCACCACAGGATGAGGTAATAACTGATCAAACCAGCTGGGCTTGTGTGCTCACATCCAGAATCAGCATTCTGGGAAACTGAATTGCAGGATACCCACCCAGTGAGTGCTGCAGAATTGTTGGTGCACGGGGGGGAAAACTCTCACACATTTTGGTAGTCAGAATGTGATAAGTGTTGAAACTATCACAGGAGAGAACAGTTAAATAGTACTTTTCCTAATATAGCAACAATGTTTTCTCTATAGCTCAAAACTTTTAGCAACCTTCATTACCTAACAACCGAAGTGTAACTTCAATAATCCTTACTTCCTGCCTTGCCCACTCACTGAAAGACAACCCAGAAAAAGCAGCCTAGGTTACTTTTGGGCACACACTTCGAATGGGATTTTTACAATCCCTTTGAGGGCCCTGTGTTGATGCAGAAGTAAGGAATCTAATGGAAAACATTACAGGAACCAATATAAAAGTAACGCTAAGGTACACATAAATACAGTATTCAAGTGTAGCATTGTTTTATTCTCATTTGGGGGAGGGGGTTATTTGATATCCAGTAAAGTGCCTCATCATGTTATTTATTCATTGGTAAGTATGAAAACTGTCTCCAAAGGACATACAAGAAGCTGGGACCTGCAGTTTTCTCTGGAGAGTAGAAAAATGGCTGAGAGCATTGTATTGTAAATTCTTCTGATTTCAACATTTTCATCATGCCTATCTACTACTTAGTCCCAAAATTTAATAAAATATTCACAGAACATAGCAATTTTGCTCTAAACTGCTTGGTGAAGCCCTACACATGTCCAAAGGGAGATAATATAACACACCGGATAAAGGTGACACACTAAAAATAACCAAAATCTTCATCAAGTGGAGAATGAATGTGTAAAATAAGCAACAACATGTTAAAGTTAGATAGAATAAATAGATCTAGCATAGATCTGGTTCTGTGCACCAAGACAGGAAGACTCAAAAATATGTTGTGTAGAAAAATCATATATAGAATATATGATTAGGATGAACTTTAAGTAAAAACTTTAAAGAACACCAATTTTAAAAATGGACAAGCCGGGCATGGTGGTGCAGGTTTGTAATCCCAGCACTCAGGAGGCTGAGGCAGGAAAACTATGAAATCAATCCATGCTGCGCAATTTAGAGACTTACAGAGTCTCAAAATAAAAAAATAAAAACCGTCTGGTGAATGGAGCTCAGTGACAAGTCCCTAGCTTCAAGCCCTAGGATTGAAGGGGCCTCTAGAAAAGGAGACTAAACTCACACCAGGACTTACCTCTGTGGAAAGCAAAGCTGGGTACAGCAGGAGCTTCCTCCATACCTGTAACATTTTTTTTTCTTTTAAAATTACAGAAAACACATGAAGGAAATAAGACAAAATGTTTTTAAAAAAACTTCAGTTCTAACTGATTAACATACAGATTGTCTCATCCTTTGTTTTCCTGTGTTCTGCACATTTTTTTAAAAAGCGAAGCCCAGTGAGCGGCTGGCGGCATCGGGGGCGCGCACGTACCCACGCAGAGGCCGTCACGTGGGCCGCTAAGAGCGCCGTGCGCGTGGCCGCGGAGGTTTTGTGAAGTTGAGTCAGTTGTGAGGGACGCAGCTGCTGACCCTGTGGCGGCCCCGCGAACCCGTGACCGAGGGACAGGCGCCGGGCCCGAGGCCGGAGCCTGGCTCTGCGCTACGGCTCGGCCAAGCCGGGCCGCGCCTCCCCGCAGCCCGCAGACCGCCGCCGCGCGCGATCCCGCCGTGCGCTGTCTCCGTGGCGCCTCCCTCCAGGCGCTGGCGGAAGATGAGCCCTCAGCCCGCCCACAGACTCGAATTCAGAGGCCCTTGAACGGAGGTAGTCACCACACCGCTGAAATTGCGAAACGCGTGAGATGCAAAGTGCGTTTCAAAGTGAGGACTGCGGCCCCTCCCGGTACTGTGTGAGGACCAGCAGTGGAATTACTGACCCTGGGTGGACGGGACTGCTTGAGCACTGCTGCAGCCTTTGACTGTGATCCAAATGGAAAGAGCAAACACAAGTTTATGGTACAGACAGTTTTTGCTCTGCCAGACACTTCAGATGTGGAAGCAGTGTGGAAAAAGCAAAACCCGGGGGCTGGGGATTTAGCTCAGTGGCATGAGTGCCTGCTTTGCAAGCAGGTAGTCTTGAGTTCAATCCCTGGTACCGATAAAAAGGAAAAAGACAAAAAAAGAAGAAGAAAAGAAGAAGAAGGCAAAACCCGAGGAATTAATGGATTCTAAATTGAGATTGTGTTTAAAATGCCAAATGAAAATAAGTTGAACAATATGGCACCTAGCAAAGCTGTTCCACTGAGTGCCTCTAAACAAGATGAACCCACGCCCAAACGGCACAGTGTTTCACTCAATGATACTGAGCCATGGAAGCTTATGGAAGAGTTTAAAAGACTTCAGAGAGAAATGAGGAAACTGTCAAAAGGAAAATCTACACCTGAGGGAGGAAGGCTTAAGGCTCTGAAAGGTGGCACATCCAAGAGAAGCCTGGCTGGGCCTCTGCGTCCTTCAGAGACAAACGTCACCAGTCCTCTCCCCTCACTCCTTGTTGTGATTGCAACCATCTTCACTGGGTTCTTTCTAGGGAAGTTCATCTTGTAGGGTGAAGCATGAAAGTGCTGTTTCTTTTCTTTTTTTCTCCTGACCAGAAAAAAAGATTTGTTTACGAACCATTTCACTGGTGGTAGGACCTGCAGTGACCCTGTGAGTTTGTGTGTGTGTGTCTACAGCATCAGTACAGGCTTTGCCTCTAATGAACTCTTATGGTTAGAAAACACAGTAAAAACTGTTGGCTGCTGGACAGGTTGTCTATCACCAGGTCTTCACTAGCAGGTGTCAGTGGCACACACCACTCATAAAATTCATAATAAAGAGTTGTTTTCTTTGTGCTTTTAATAGTTCAAAGACTTGTTCAGATTCTTGTAAATGTTATTTTAATAATCCCTTTAAATTTTATCTGTTGCTGTTACCTCTTGAAATATGATTTGTTTAGGTTGCTAATATCTCTCATTCAGGAAATGCCAAGGGATGTTCTGTGGGGAAATGGTGCCTCTTACCATAAACATTTTCTCCTTTACCTTTGCTAACCATGGCAGAATTTTTTGTACCCTATGAGGCAACTGTTCACCGCGTTTTTTCATCCTTACAATCCTATCCCATGGTATTTAACATATAATAATAAAACTTTTAACAGATTGTTGCTCAATAAAAATTCATTAAAAGTGAAGGATACGTATCTAGCAAAAGTTCTTTAGAAAAATCCTTTTATGGATTTATAAATTCAAGTAGGATAGACAGGAGAGGAGAGTAAGAGGAAATAAAAAGAATTAAGATGTATAATGTACATGTATCAACTCCCCACTATGAATGCAATCATTACATACATTGAATGGGTACCATAGTAAAATAAAAATTTTTAAAGTCAAGGACATTCTAAATGGCCTTGATATTACTAACTTGTATTCCTTTTTTTAAAATGTTGCATTAGAAGTTTTAGAACATTTAGAAACTCTATGGTTTTACAGGTCACATTTCAGATATCACAACAAAATGAAGCCATTGCCACAGACAGCACAGAGACCAACCTGGGGCGGGGGTGGCCTGTCTTAGCACAACTCCTGTAGACACTCATTATTTCACATCAGCCTCCTCCTTCCCAAACCCACTCAGGATATTCTCTGAAGGAGACTTTTAAAAATTGCCTTGGGGCATATTCTTTACCCCTGCCATTCTTTGCACTTTGTGGAAATAGAACATTCTACAGGCATCTATGGTCTCTTTAAAGACCTGAGTCTCCACACTTGCCTACGCCCTGGGTTCCTGCATTCTGCTCCTGTGAAGATGGAAGGACGCTTAAGGGTGTGTGGAGGCTTGAAGGAGGCCAGACCTACTACTCCTGAAATCCGGATGGCAGATAAGGTGAGTTGAAGCATTTCAGGAAAATATCTGATCAAAACCTCAGTCTATTGTGTGGCTTTGTAGTAAGAGCATAGATCAACATGAAAATGTGTGTGGCTTTGGGTAACTGAAACTAGAATACTGAGCTTTTCAAATGAAAGCTTGAATAATCCCAGCACTACCAGAGTGACCTTCACCAAGTCACATATCTTGCTGGAGCCTCATTTCCCCATTTGTTAAAGAAGGATTTGTCCTGGGCCACCTCTAAAGCCTTTACTTATAGGTCTGATAGGAGGACTATTGATCAGTTAGTCATGAATGTTTCTACTCTGTAGTAAAAGTCTAAAGTTATTAATAATTCGGTGAACTAGACTTTTAATGCTCCACAGGAAGAATTACTTGTTTTTTGATGAATTGAGTGAGGAGCAATATTGTGAAGGTGATCAATTACAAACCTCCGCATCTGCCTAGTCAGTGTTTTAGTCTCTTGGGTATACAGTAATTAAATTAATAGAGAACTACTATAACCTCTAGTGACTATAGGCTGACAAATTATTTATTAGAAATATGGAATCCAATACTTTTAGCATGTCATTAAATTTTAAGTTATTATCACCTATGGACTTTATATATATATATATATATATATATATATATATTTGTCTTTTTCTTTTTTATCGGTACCAGGGATCGAACTCACGACTGCCTGCTTGCAAGCCAGGTGCTTATGCTGCTGAGCTAAATCCCCAGCCCCTATTAATGTATATTTTTGAAAGGAAATAAATATGAGTTATGCCATAGCTCTGTATATTGTGGCCTTATTTTCTTATACCATTCCTTCTTGTTTTTTCATTTTAAAATGTCATTCTGTGATTCTTTTTGGAAACCAGCTTTCAGTGTGAGTGGAAGAGATGGGATTCTTTATATTTTAGGCACTGAAAACTCTGGGAGCAACCAGATGTCTGAAACACCACCACTTATTCTCTAGGGGTATATAATTCTCTTTGTAAACTTTAAACATTTTTTTTCAATAGATGTTTTGGTTTAGCATAATTTAAGATGTACAGGAAAGTTACAGGATGCACAGGAAGGGTAGTAGAGAATTCCAGTTTCAGTTTCCCCTAAAGTTATCATCTGTCATCATCCTGGCCCTTTTATCAAAATCACTGGTAGCTAAATTCTAGACTTGAATGTGGAGTTCCCTTATTTATCTCACCAATATTATTTCTCATTCCTGAATCCAGGTAGGGTTCCAGGGATCCACAGTATTTGCATTGTCACAACTTGTTAGTCTCCTATGGCCTGATCTGTGACAGTTCTTCAGCTTTCCTTGTCTTTCATGACCTTGACAGTTTTGAAGACATATTTTCTAGAAGGTCCTATTTGGGTTGTCTGGTGTTTCCCTGGGAACTATGGAATGTTTAAACAAAATAAAAACCAAGATACTGTGAGTAATGATATTGACTTTATCCCCAAGGCTTTTTGTCAAACCTTAAAAACTTAAAGCTTATGCTTTAGTTTTTTGGATTTTAATGTAGTTAATTGGCACCTATCATTAGTCGTCCTTGCATTTATTCCCCTCCTCCATCTATAATAGTCTCCCACCTACTTTCATGGCATCTTCTTTAGACTTAGATTTCTCCCATTGGGGAAAGAAGTTTTTATTTTAAAACATACCTTAGAGCCTTCTATACTTTTTTTTTTGGAGACAGGGTCTCACCGTGCAGTTCAGGCTACCCTCAAACTCATTTGGTAGACCAGGCTGGCCTTGAACTCACAGCTATCCTCTTGCCTCAGCCTCCTGAGTGCTAGCATTACAGGCATATGCCACCATGCCAGCTGCCTTTTAATCTTAAAAAACATAATATTGATTCATTCATATCTCCCGGAATCCCCATACCAAATCAGTATTCTCACACTTGGTTGTGCATTAAGTCACCTGTGGGTCTTGATCAAGTGCAGACTTCAACACAGGAAGAGCATGGCAGGCCTAAAAATCTGCATTTCTACCAGTCCCCTAGATGCTACTACAGCTGCCACTAACCCTGACCGCCCTTGCCTGCACTACCAATTGTGTTTGTAAAAAGAAGATAACATATCTCACCACACTAATTTCACACCTGTAAGGACTACCTGAAATAATGTGCATAAGGATGACTTGAAAATGAAAAAGAACTATGTGTAAGCACAGAATCATGACTGTTTACTTAAAAATGTTGCCTGAAATCATCCCTAACTGAAAAACCCGCTGAGACTCTCCAGGAACCAGAAGCACTATAAGGGGATCAGGAACAGTAGGGAAATTTACAATGGAGAAGGTATAGAAATATTTTTTAAGGAGAATAAAACAGAACAGAACAAAGCAAATTAAAACAGAACAATGCTAGCAACACAGGACTTCACAACAAGGTAGCAGGATATCAACAGTGGCTACCATAATGTCTCTGTTTTCTTCAAAATAGTTGAGCATACCTTCACACACAATAATATCAAACATAGCAAAATAGATACAACCAATCAAAAAAATGAAAACATTACAGGAATTCAAACCTTGTAGCAGGAAATGAACAATGGTTACTCTAATGTCTCCTTTTCTTCAAAACAGGTGTCCACACCAACACACATGATAAAATCAAATAAAACACAACAGAACAAAACCAATCAAAACAGAAGAATAAAAAAGCACAATAGGAACTTCAAAACAAGATGATAGGAAATCAGCAATGGCTACCATGTCTCATTTTCTTCAAAATAGCTATTCATACCATCACACATAATAAAATCAAAGAAAAACAAAGTAAACTAATTAAACAAATGAATGAAAGCATTATAGGACTTCAAAACAGGATAATACAAACCCAACCATGATGATTGTAATGCATCCCATTATGGTCAAAATAGCTGCCCATACCATCACAGTAAAATCTAAGAAAACGAGACAGAACAAAGCCAAATCTAACAAAATTGTGAAAACAATACAAGAATTCAAGACAAGACAATAAGAAATTCACAGTAGTTACCACCTTCCCCTCCTAAGCGTTTCCTCCCCTATCACTCTTACATTATCTGTTGTGCTTTTGGATTCCATTAACTCCTGTTTCTTATGCTAGGGTTCACACATGAGTTCAAACTGTTTTGCCCTAGAACATGATTTCCAGTTGCATCCATTTACCTACAAGGGTCTTGAGATTATCCTACTTAATAGCTGGATAGCTTTCTACTGCATGAAAATATCATATCTTTCTTATTCATGCTGAGGTTGATGGACAAGTCACCCTTGATTTTTTTCTGGTCTGTTGTCACATGGAACGATTGTTTCTTGCCTTTGATTTTCAGTCTGTGAATTTCCCTTCCAGTTAAATGTGTTTCTTGTATCCAGTATATATCCAGTGTATTGATGGATCTTGTTTCTTGATCTACTCTCCCTGTACTTATTTTTATTGCTGAAGTGAGGCCATCTATATTAGTGGTTACAGTCAGCACACACTGGTTTGTCTCCGCCATGCTATCCTCCTGCTGTTGGCCCTCCACTTTTCCCCTTCATTCAGTTGCCCGTCTTATTTGGTGATCCTCCTTTGCTATTGTTCCTGGAATTGTGGTCATCTTTATATCTCTCTAGAATATTCTACAGCACTCTCTGTAGTGTTGGTCTTGTGGTTATGAATTCTATCCATTGCTCTTTTACATGGAAGTATCTTATTTTTTAATCCATTTTGAAAGATGGTTTTGCAGGGTACATCAATCTGGATTGGAAGTTGTTTTCTTTCTGGATTTGAAATACTTCACTCCAAACTCTCCTCGACTTGATGGTTTCTGTTGAGAAGGCTGATGTGATTCTCACTGATTTTCCTTTATAGGTGATCTATTTCTTTTCTCCAATGGCTTTTTCTGTATTTTAAAAAAGAGAAAACAGAAAAAAACCAATCAAAATAAACCAGTGTAAGAGATACACATCTCAAAAAATTATGAAATAAAAAACAGTTAACATAATGCCTTTAAACAGCTGCACATACCTTCAGATATATTAAAAATCAAACAGAACAAAATAGAATAGAAACAATAAAGACAAAACAATGACTGCAATAAAAAATTTGAAAACAAACCAATAATAAATCCAAAATTGCTACCATAATATATCTTGCTATTTTTGAAATAGTTGCTCCTGCCATAGGAATTAACATAAACAAACAAAAGAGAATAAAACTCCACTCAGCAAAACAATGGAAATGATATAGGACCTCGAAACAAGACCATTGGGAATCAACAATGGCTACAACCCTCAGAAAGGGATTCCCCCTAGATGCCACACTGCATACTATTATCCTCTGAACCTATGATCAGACCACTGACCCTAGACCTGCAATGTTAGTGAAATGCTAAAGCACAACAGGCATCCAATTGCATTTCACCTCAATAGCTATCATCATAGCCTGCTTCTCTGGATAAGCTGCCCACTTATGGTGGGGGAGGGGTTAGTGCTTCTTGTATTGCCAGCCTGTGCCCCAGAAGGGGCTGAGGTCTGGCTTTTCCAAGTCTGGTAGCAGCCTGGACATGATGCTGATTTCAAGACTGGGTTTGTTTGCTGGTGTGCCTCCTAACCAGTCCGCAAATGGTACTGACTTACAGGAAGAGACTTGAGTCTAGTTCTTCCCAGTCCAGAGGCAGCCCACCCATGGTGCTGGTTCCCAGATGGGGTTTGTTTGCTGGTCTTCTCTAACAGTCTTTAATATTCTGTTCTTGTGCTGAATTTCTGGGATCTTGATTATCACATGTCTGGGTGTAGATTTACTTTGGTTATGTGTAGTTGGAGTTCTGTATGCCTCACTTATCTGCATGCCAGATCCTTTTTCCCTGTTTGAGAAATTTTCTGCTACCATTTCTGCAAATAACCTTTTAATTTCATTTGTGTTAACCCCTGCTTCTTGACTGACATATCACTTTTAAATCATCCTTCTTTGCATCATCTTGTAGCCATTGAATTATTTCCTGATTCCTGGTCATTTTAAAGAGATATTTCCCTTCACAATGGCTAGCTAAAATCCTGTCATCAAGGTTTGAAAATCTATATTCAGTCTCTTTTAAGCAGTTTTGACAGTGTTCAGTTGACTTTTTAATTTCCTAGATCTCTCTTTGAATCTGTTTCATACACTGTAATTCCTTTGTATATTGTTCATTCAAGGTTTTCATCATTTTCCTAGGCTCCTCCTTTTATCTAAGTCTTCTTTAGATATGGTGAGCAATTCTTTCAGTATGTTTATGATTTCTTCTTTTACCTGAGATATTATTTCTGTTCGGATTACTTTTACATCTCGTGAAGCTGTTTCTTTACTTTAGTTGCTATCCTTTCAGAGATTTCAGTTTGTAACTTCCATTTTCTTCCATGACTGTATCTCTCAAACCTGTTCTGTGTGAGCTGGAGGTCTGAGATTGCCTTTTGCTCCTTTGCCTTGACATTCTCCTGGGTTCCTGCCAACAAGCTGGGTGTGGGGCCCCAATATTTCTCACATTGGCTGTCCCTCCCCATTGTAGGGAAATGGGTCAAGCACCTGAGTTCCTCTTACCTCAGATTTACAGGGAGGTAGCAGGGCGTGGGCAGATTTCTCCAGACCTGTGCAGCTACACTGGAGCGACCCCGATGGCCACAGTGAATGGCCCTGACCCCCGTTTAGCCTCTCCTTTGATCTGCATAACCCTGAGGCAGGCAGGAAGAGAACTGTGTCTGAGTCTCAGATGATGACGCCAAGACACAAAGTGCTTAAGAGTCATCTGGCTTAGACATTAGCGGCCCACAGACTTTTGACCCCGTACTCTCCCACAGCGCCAGCACATGGAGGAGATGTGGGGGGCACAGGAAACACAGAGGAGAGAGTGTGGGGAGCCCTGTCCTCACATTAGATTCACTGTGAGAAGTGTCCATCCATGAAGCACTGCAGGGTAGGCACATTTCTTCAATATCTCCTATGTGTCTATGTTGAGCCAAGTTTATAAGAGCTATAGGGGCTGCAAGGGACCATCCCTGCCTTCAAGGGGTTTACAGCTGAGGCAGGGAAGTTAGATGTCTAGAACATAATCAAAAACAACACCCAACTGAGTACTTGGCAATAATCAGCTGTAGTGGTGGCGCGCTTCCTCAGGCGCTCTGCTCCCAGTAACCGCTGATCTGGCCTCCTGCAGGAGACAGCCTTAGCAGGCAAGTTTCAGTTCAGTAGTAGAACATAGACTAGTATTCAGTAAGCTCTATAGTTGAGGAATCACTTTTATATCAATTCTATCAGTTTTCAATCCCAAGATGCAGATACTATGACAACCACCTAGTCAATGAAATTAGTTCATTTTCGTTAGAATGTGCCTGGCCCACTGGGTTTTGTGAGCATGATATGTGAATACACACACTGCCCTGATTTCCATGACCCTGTGTGCATCTGGCATCCCAGTTCTCAACTAGAGATCACTCCCATTGCCCCCACTTTCTCCTCCACTTTCCTCCAGAGAGATGCTGAACAACAGAAAGCTGACTAATCACGGCTCTGTGAATTCGGGCTCAACTACAGCAGCAGGGCACGCAGGCTACCAGGACATCCTTTCAGTCGGAGTCCCTCCTCCTTCCTGTTCCCTCCCTCCTCGGTGGTTCCTCACTCCCCCCTTCCCCTATATTTCCTCCAGCAGGGTAGGGTGTCTCAGTTCCTATTTGTCTTAGTTACTTTTCTTGTTACTGAGACAGAACACCTGACAGCCAAAGTTCAAGGGGGAAAGGTATATTTTTGCTTAGCTTGTAGAGGTTTCAGTCCCTAGTCCCTTGGCTGCAGCGCAGGGTGGTGTAGCAGAGGGGCAACAGTTCATGGTGGGCAGAAGGTAGCAAAACAACAATGAAATGAAGCAAAGTCTGAGCCAGCTTAGCAGCCTCTTTGTGTCCCTTTTATATTTTATCGAGGCAACTGGGTTAAGGGCAATGCCAACCAATCACTGAACTGATTCAGTAATCACACACCCTTAATCTCAGCATCGTACACTAGATCCAGCTAGCTCTGAAAAAGCCCACTTATGACTGCATGAGGCTTAGGGAGGACATCTAAACACAAGCCATACATTACTCTTTTAGAAACTTTGTTAGAAAATGCCTCAACTGACTTCACTCCCCATTCCCCCTTTTAGTCCTGGACTCTCCCTTCTTTCTTCAACCAGTTCTTCCTGTATTAGGCAGGTGACTTCATTGCTTGCATCCTGAGTCTTTTGCCCCATAATTTACCCTACAAAATGGATCAGACAGCACATGATAACATCTAATATGTCCATTTTCTTTACTTATCATAAAATTTCCCCAAATAGGGCCCATGCTTATTGCCAGCATCATGTTCTATCCATTTTCTCTGACATTCTGCATAGCCTGAATGTCTCTGAACACCTATTGCAGATTAGGGGTAATATCTGGATGTCAGGTGCTATGTGGCTCAGACCTTCAGCTCTGTAGTAATTTTTAAAAATGCATGAACAACTCTGGATTAAATGTGTTTTACCAGGCACCATTCTTTTTTTTTTTTTTAAGACAGAGAGAGATAAAACCAAGCAAAATAATATAGTTACCTGGCAGGGGAGATACCATGATCACGAAGGTGATTTTCCCAGGGTGAAGCTCACCCATTGCACTCCAAATGTTCTGACCTCTGCAATTTCCCCAAATGTGGAAAACTCGACTGCATAATTTGTGGTAGCAGTGGATTGCGTTCACACTCTCCCCTGTTAAAAAAAAAAAAGCAAAATAGAACAGAATAGAGCCAATCAAAACAAGACAGTGTAAGTGACATGGAATTTCCAAACAAGATAATAGGAAGTCAGCAATGGTTAACATAGTGCCTCTTATTGTCTTCAAAATGGCTGCCCACACGTTCACACATAGTAAAATCAAACAAAACAGAAAGAGAATAGAACCAATAAAAACAAAACAATCAATGCAATACAAGACTTCAAAGCAAGATAATAGTAAATCCAACCATAATATATCTTTTCATCTTTGAAATAGCTGCCCATGCCATCAGACACAACAAATCAAACAAGACAATACAGAATAAAACCCAGCCAAACATAACCAAATGAGAAAGATGCAGGACTTCAAAACAAGATAATAGGGAATTAATGATAACCACCACCTGCAGAAGGAGAGTCCCCATACATGCTACATTACATATTGTTATCCTCTGAATAGATTATCAAACTACTGGCTTTAGGCCTACAAAGTCAGTGAAACAGTAAACACTACAACCATTAAATTGTATTTGACCTCATTAGCTATCATCACATCCTGTGTTTCTCCAGATCAGCTGGTTGTTTATGGTAGGGGGCAGACTTTGGCTCCTTTTGTCTCCCTGCCCACATGCTGGAAGGGGCTGATGTGTGGCTCTCCCCCCCGTCAGCACACAAATGGCACCCACACACAGGAGGTCTTAGCTTCTTGGTGACTTCTTGTTCTCCTCCCCTGTAGTCTGCAAATGGCACCGACTGACAGGAGAGGGCTGGCATCTTGCTCTCCCCCACTGATCTCTTGCATGGTGCTGACTCACAGGAGGTCTTAGCTTCTGGTGACTTCTTGATCTCCTCCTCTGCAGTCCATGAATAAATCTACCTGGTACCATTCTGATGTCCTCCTCCCCATGACTGGAGACCAAGTATCAAACCTACTGCGTTCTACTGGATTCAGTACAAGCTCTGTCTTTTTATATCTGGGCCCTGACCACATGCCTAGCTGGCTTCCCTCCTCCTCCTCTTAGTGCCCACCCTGGTGGATCTTCTGCCACATCCTTTTTGAATCTGACAGTTTCACTAACAAGCTCCCCTTGTGAACATTTCCCTGCAGCCCAGCTCAGGAATCATCACCCAGCTCCATAGATGGCACCCAGCATTGCACAGTGCTTCATGAGAAAGGAGAGGAGGGCTGCAGTTTCCACATACAGTGAGCTAGAAATCAGGGCACACGGTCTGCCAGGTGCCAGTGACGGTAGGGCATGAAACAGATCATTGTCAGTCACCTCTCGTGGAAAATTCTGGACTTTTGATCTGTGATCTATGGATACAATGGTAAGGTTACAAATTTGTATCAGTTAATAAGAAAGATACAAATAAAAACTTATGACACATGATTAGAAGATGAGGCATGGTATGGCATACATGTAATTCTTCCACTCTGAGAGGCTGAGGCAGGAGAATAACAAGGTGGATCTCGGCCTTGGCAACTTGATGGCTTAGTGAGACCGTCTAAAAATAAAATGGCCAGGAACATTGTTCAATGCAAAGGCTCTGGGTTCGATCCCCTATTCAACAACAACAACAACAACAGTAAAGACAAGAAGACTAAAAACCAGAAGTATCTCATCTCAGACACTTACATCATCAGCAAGGGCTGTAAAATAGCAAAGACTATGACTCTTAACTTTGCAACCTTAAGCACTCAAGCTTTCCTTACAGCCACGGGTTCCTTATTTCTACAGTGAAGTTAAAGGCCCTAACCCAATGAGTGCCTTGTGCTGGGCACCCCTCCTTTGGCCGTTCAAAAGGGTCAGGTTGACGGAGCCAGACAGCGCCCCCTCTCCTTCTGCTTCTCTTCACACACTGGCACTCAGCCACCTTCTTGCCATCTGAAGACTGACTGCAGGAGAAATGGGAGGTTGTCTGCAGTGCATCTGGCTCCAGCAGAGGGCGCAGACAGCTCCATCTGCAAAAGCCTCCATTTGGCAGTGAAAGTGAAGCATAAACATAGCAGCATTTGCCAGGTCAGACCAGTAATGGGCAGGGCCAGATGGCCTCAGGAGAGCCCGAGATAGCCTGAAGGCCTGATTCAAACTGATGCCATGAAATGCTTTCGCGAAAGGTGCAGAGGCCTCTAACTCAGTAAAGGAGACATACGGGACACACATAGTTCCCTTTACCTCCACAGGCTAGGGAAGGATTGGCGGACAGAAGCACAAACTTGCAATCATAAAGACAACAGAAGGCAGACAGACTCCACCTAAATGACAGCAACAACACTTGGAAGGTGGAAAATAGAACCAATGGAAAATGACTAGCCATCTGAATGGCCCTGCATCTGTGGAGCAGAAAAGCTAAGCCAGAAGCTGCTCACATCTTTCCGGCGCTGGGGCTGCAACCCCATGCTGTGTGTGCTAGGCGTGCTCTCTACCCCTAGGCTGTATTCCCAGTCCAGCCATGGAGCCTTGAAATGTTTCAGGGATTAGCAACCTCAGAAACACCAAAGCCAGGACTGAAGCACAAGACCAGAGCTAGGAGCTCTGCAGACAACCAGAGCTGAGAAACAATTAGATAGCCCCAGACCCTCCCCTCACCATCCTCCACCCTGAAACACCTGAAGCTACCCACCTTCTCCATTCTGATAGAAACCTAAATCTTTGCTTTTAGCATGAGGTGGGTCACAGATCACAGTGCACTCCAGCACATCAGTCCAGTAGCATGGAAAGGAAGGAGCAATCCTAAAAAAAAGTTAAAGTTTACATTGTGAGCCTCAGACTCTCTGGCTCCCTTCTCATGCCTGGGTCAGCAGTGCTGGCATCTAAGCTTTTGTCTCCTGTGGTGGACAGAATAATGGCCTCCAATGATGCCTGCATCCTAATCCCTGGAACCTGTAGTGCAGGGACTTTGTACACTGCTTGGGTTGGGTGAGAAGATTATCCTGGATAATCAATGTGAATGCAGAGTGTCATAGGCTTTGTAAGAACTGTACACAAATTCTGGACTCCAGTTCATACATGTATTTTTCACAGGATTATCGATTATTAGCAGTTACAAAGGCATTCCATCTGTATACAAGAACTGATCAAGCCAGTAAATACATTGTGAATTATTAGAAGCAGGTTTTTAATGATTCAGTGTTTGAGAAAAGGATTGCAATTAAAGAGAAGGAGCAAAGTCAAATGTATCTTAATTTGTTGGATTTTAATGTGAGAAATAAATACTGGCAGCCCTGTATATCCATTGATTCTGAATCCATAGATTCAACCAACTGTGAATCAAAAATATTTAAAGAAAAACATTTCTTTACACTGAACATGCAGACTGTTTTTTTTTTGTGTGTGTGTATATGTATGTGTGTGCGCACGCACACACAGGAGTGCCAGTGGTTGAACCAAGGAATTCATACTGGGCTATATCCCTGGCACTTTTTATTTTTCATTTTGAAACATTTATGCCCCTGAGATAAATTCCTATCCCCTTATATGGATTCTTGCTAAGTTGCCCATACTTGGCTCAAGCCTTCTTTATCCTTCTGGTCTAAGTTTCCCAGAGCACTGGAATTATAGGCGTGCAGCTATTTGCCTGGGTATCATTTCTTAAACAATACAATTTAACAACTATTTACATAGTATTTCTCTTATACAGATATTGAGTAACCTAGAAATAATTTTAAATATACAGAAAGATGTGTGCAGATTATATGCAAGTTGTATACCATTATATTACCAGAAATTTGAGCAACCATGGATTTAATGGTTCACAGGGACTCCTAGAACCATCCCTCTGTGGAACCTAGGGACAAAGAAGCTGGGGCTCCAAGGAGAAATAGTTCATTCCAGGAAGGAAGAAAGAAAATCCAAGAGGAATCTAGACTGTATTGTACTGTCAAAGTAAGCAAGTACTCATGAGATAACAGAACTATGTTGTCAGAACACCAGTTTGAAGAAGATCCAGATGGCAAAATCAAAGGCAATTTAAGCCAAAAAAGTGAAAGAATTATAATCTATAGAAGAAAAGAAATCTACAGAAATAATTCAGTGCATGGATAGGAGAGAGGGGATAGATCTTCCTTACAATAGAATTCAAATTAGCAAATATATGAGAAATGACAGAGGAAAAAAAATCACAATTTGATCTTATGCCATACCACAGTAGTAAGTATTGTAGGCAAGAAACATCAATGGATTCTACAATTGTAGATGAAGCATGAGGAAAAAGATAGTTCCATGGTATGAATGCATTACCTGGAAGATTAATATTAATTACAAAAATAGCGGTATTTATAGTGGTGAGCTTGGCAGATGTCTAAGTGTTAACATCAACAGTAAGGAATTGGGGAGCTCCTGAGAGGGGCCACTGTGAGCCCAGTTTGTGCTGCCCCTTCCAAAAATGTGGGGGTTCCCCTAACATAAGGGGAACCAGACAAAACAAACGGAGCAGCAGTCTACACACTGAAAATCCGCTATTCTAGGTCTCGAGCCACAGAGAATTAACCCTAGGATTAATCCACAGTGGAGGGGCTAGAAGGCTTCGCAATAAAATGTAATGTGGGATCCTGGAGCAGAACAGGGACATTTTGAGAACAGCAGGTAAAACACTCTAAAAGCAAAATAATTTAAAGGTCTATAGATTGCTTATCAGTATTACACCATGCTTATTTTCCAATTTTGATGATTATTTTTTGGATATGTAAAATGATAATACTAGGGGAAACAATTCAGTGTATGTTCTTTAATAATTTTAAATAATTTGTTTGAAAATTTAAGAATGAATTACTCTACTGATTTCTATTAGTCAAAGACGTACAACTACTGGAGCTTCACCAGTCACACTGTTACTATATTGCACTACCACACTGACTTGACCTTAATTCAGCCTAAAGTAACAAATTTCTTTGTTTGTTTGTTTGATTCTTTTTGAGACAGTGTCACCGTGTGGTCCAGGCTGGCCTCAAATTCTTGGTGGATCTGCCTGCCTCAGCATACTGAGTGCTGAGATTA